GTGTAATTTATGGCTGTTCCTTTTCATGTTATAATTTTCAATGTTTCCTCATTGCCTATAATGTAAGAGTCCAAAGCCATTGGCCTTGAAATACATTTTATCATGTTTATCTGCAGACTTTATCTTCCACAACAAAATCCTCACCACATTTCTTAAAACCCTTTGGCAGGAACCCAAACTCTTTAGTATGATTTAAAAGTTTGACTCTGTCACTCCTCAAAATAAAGTCCAGATTTCTTCCCCCAAGCCCCCAAATCTATTCATGAAAGCCCTGCTTAAAATCTTTTCATGAATCTCCATCACTGACAAAATACCTGGACATCTTAGCATGATACCGATTTACTGGTGGTATTCTCAGTTTAAAACCTTCCTTATTTCATGTCCCCAACACAAAACCCAGAGGCCTGAGCGTGGAATGAAAATTGCACCAAGTATTTGCTAAGCTGAAAAATCTTCACGATGCTCTTCGTTACTTTGGATACAAAGCCTAAGCTTTAGCCCCCATTCCTCCTCAGACTTCGCAGGAAGACCTGGTCTCCTACTTCTTGCCCCCAAACAAATCTTGATTTTATTGCCTCCAGGTCTTTTAATATTTTGAAGCTGGTACCTCTGTGTATAGTTCATTAATTCATACAGCGGCATGTCCCGATTCTTTTTTCTAGGACAGGCACTGGACCCTGCGGGTAAAGGAATAGAGGCAGCCTCGCCTTGCTGGACATCTGTCATCAGCAAGGAGGTGGGGACCAAGCCCTTGCTGTTTCATGCCATGCTGGAGGTGAGCGTGGGGTTTGTGGGGCAAGACTGGGAGGTCTCCCTTCCACCCCTGGTGAGCATATCCTTTCAGGGTTCTCTGGGCTCAGCTGTCCATCCTTTGGTGAGGACTGTGGGGCCTTGGGACCATCATTTCTGAAGGTGGAGGTTCCCCCGCCCTCTCACCTATCCCTCCATGCCCACAGCTGCCCCTGCCTCTTCTCTGGCCTCTCAGTCTTACGAATGTAGTTTCATCTATGTTGAGGTCTCAAGCCACAGGATGATTTAAAAAAAAAAATCTACTAATTTGGAAATTCTCATTTCATACCCCCCTCCCAAGTCAGGATTGAGTGCACCTGGTTCGGGGTCTTTGAGTCAGACCCCCTACCCCCGGCACCCACAGACAGACACCCCAGCCTCACCACCTGCCGTGCCCAGAGCCTTCTTGTTCAGGACAGCTCCCTGCTTGCCTCCGAGCAAGTGGCCCATTGGGTCGGGGCTGCCAACGTGTGTCTATGAAGGGTTGGGTGTGGGGGGGTAGCGCGGGGGGGCCAATCCCGCAGCAAATACCTCTGCCTGTCAGCTCACTTGTACAGTAAAGGAAATCTGATTTTAAAAATAGAGCTTGGAAGAGGAGATGAGAGGATATTTAGGAGCAGAGTTGAGCCTGGGGTAAGAGCGGGGGGCGGAGGAATTAGGGGAGAGGTGAGGACACAGGAGGAGGGCGGGAGGCCCAGTTGCTGAGGAGGAAGGTAGAGATGGTGTACATGAGGGCAGAGGGAGAAGAGGGGGATTGGGACTCTGCGTTCCGTGCTCCCCTTTTCTGGCCTCTTAGACCCCCGCCTTCACAGGGGACCCTGGCTCTCTGGGCTACCAGGATGGGTGTCCGGGCCAGCATCAGGCAAAGACCCTGGCAGCCTCTAGGACATACACAGAGCCATCTGGGTTTGAAGGACCAGGGCTGTAGTCACTTCTCATTCAGCTTCCTAGTTGGGAGTGGGCACAGAGAGCGGTGGCTCCTTGGGGGCCCTTGAGGAGGGTCCCAGTGGACTGTGGGCCCTCCCGAGGGCTGCTGGGCTGGCACAACTCGCATTGGGGTGCCTCTCTTCCAGGCCCCTGCCTTATCCATTCAATTGCCTGGCTTGTGGCCTAGAGACCACTGGGCCTTACAGATGAGAAAGCCTCCTCACCTTGACCCAGAGCTGCCATTCTCCCCTCCCTTCCCCTGGGTTTGTGAATGTCAGGCCCCACTGGGCCAGGGGCTTCACTGGGGAAACTGAGTCTCTAGAAGGGCATCACTGTGACTCAAGACATGCAGTGAGTTCTGGCAGAGCTGGGGTTGTCCCCAGGGCCACTCTTCCAACCCCAAACCGGGCTGGGTTGGGGGGCCTCTTGGAGAGGGTCCCTGAAGCCCCTCACCACCCCTCAAGGTGAAGGGCAGTGCCCGGGACCCTGCCATGTTCCTGCAGCCAAGTCCCTGTCCCCCTCCCCCGCTCCTTGATTGGCAGTTCCAGGGGGTAGCTGGATCACTCTGCCCAGAATAACCCTGGGAGGGGGAGAGTGTCGCCCGAGGGAGGGGCTGGGAGAGGGGTCACAGAGAGAGTCCTTCTGAGCTGCCCAAATCAGACGGGCCAATGAGCTGCTCCCAATGCTGCTCTTGCCTTTCAAGGCAAGTGGGTAGGGGAAGGAGCCAGCCAGCTGCCAGCTGGGACCCACGCCTACTTTCAGGGTGACCCGCTCCTCCTGGGCCCTCAGTTTCCCCAGATCTGCTAGGGGGGTTGGGTAGTGGTCTTCTCATTTTGTTCCTGTCACTTTGGGATCCTGAGGAGGTGTTTGAAGGGTGACCCTGGGGAGCTTTGGTGAAGGGAGGGGTTTGGCAGAGCAGGTGGAACTCGGGGATGGCGCCCACCCCGCCTCAATTCTTAGAAATAGGGGTCCCTTCTATTTCATTTCTCTAGAGGCCCCCACATGGAAGCCACTGTGGAGAGCACCAGCTGGTGGTGTCTTCTCGCGGGAGGGGTCTCAGTGGAGTCTGGTGGTGTCTCTGGTGGCCAGGAGCTGCAGGCGAGGAGCCGGTAGCCCGGGGAGGAGGGCCCGCCTGAGTAGGAGCAGAGGCCAGGCTCGGGGCGCCCATTTACAAACGGAGGAGCACCTCTCTCCCAGGGGAGATGGGAACAGTAAGGGCCTGTTTCATCATTAGGGCTCCCGTGTCACTACTTTGCGAACATCTGCTGTAATTGCAGCGGACGAGAATCAGAGAGCATTTTCACACATGGTGCCGACGTTAATTATTTCACTGGCCTGCCTTGACAAGGAGCGAACCAAGTACAGGGCGAAACAACTATTGAACACCCCCCCTCACCCCCCCCCCCCCCCCCCCCCCCCCCCCGGCGCTAAGTGGCTGGTGATGAGGCTGGGGAGGGGCGGTCTGTGCAGATGCAGGAGGTACGTGATGTCCCGACAGAGGTGATTCGATTTTTTAGTTAAAACTAATGTTTCCTTAGCATCTGCTGGGTGTCAAACAGGACCCTCACCACTCGGTCCGTTAGTGACTGCTTTCCTCATAAGGTGGTTTATTCCCTGTTTCCCAGCATTAAATGTAGGGGTTCAGCAGGCCCAATTCACGAAGGAAGAGGCGGGGGCAGCATTCAAACCCCGGCTTTCCTCTCTGCCCTGGTGGAGGGAGGGGCAGGAGCAGACACCCCTCAAGGGGTTGGCAGTGGCCATTTGGGGCCAGAGAGGAATATTTCATTCCATGGTCACCATGATCAGCCTCATAGTCGATTGGGAGACCAGACCAGAGGAGTGGGGGTCTCAGTGTCGCCTCTATCTTACCGAAAAGCTCATGGGGTCATTCCCAATTCATTTTGGCTAATTTGGTTGTCGGTGGAGGGACAGGACAGCTGGCCCAGGACCTGCTAGTTATAGCCGCCCAAGTATTTGAACAGAGATATTGAGAACCAAACGAACCCTTTAACCTTTCTTCCTAATGGCCGGCTCACCCCATTAAGTGCGCATCCCCTCCACCCCCAGGCCCCTGGGGGGAGGTCAGCATGGGACCTCCGGCCCAAGTCTTACCTTTGATGCAAGTAGTCACTGTAGTCAGCGGATGGGCTCCCGTCTGGTTGACAGGAACTGCGCTTCTTTCTAAAAAGTTATGGGATAAATGAATGTCTTTAATATGGAAGTCCGGGCTGTGTGACAAGCATGCATTTTCCACAGGACAATTTAAAATTTGTATGCGGAGCTTTTCTCACCTGACTGTATCATTAACCCCCTTTTCCCACATGGTGCATTTGGGTCTTTCCGTGGGATTGCTTGAGTGCTTACTACGTGGCAGGCATCGTTTCCGCGCCCCCCACCCCCCAAATATGTTTTTATTGATTTTGGAGAAAGAGGAAGAGAGAGGGATAAATAGAAACATCTATCTCTTTGGCTGCCTCCTGCACGCCCCCTACTGGGGATTGAGTCGGTAACCTGGGCCTGTGACCTCTTGGTTCATGGCTTGATGCTCAATCACTGAGCCACACCAGCCAGGCCAGGGCACTATTTTAATTCTCTTACTTTGTATAACAATCCGTGAAGGTGTTACTTTTGTTACCCCCACTTTCCAGAGGGGAATCTGAAGCCCAGGACGCACCTCAAGCCACCCATGTCTCTAACTGGCACGTCCACATCACTGAGAGCCACACTGGCACTCAATGTCCAGCACCTTGTCCTTGCTGGGCCCCCATTTTTCTCTCCAGCAAATGCCCTTCAGAGTTGATGTGAGTTGGGCCCAGCCTGTGTGCAACTCTGAGTGCAACTCTAAGCTCCCTGAGTTTTGACTCCAAGGTGGTTGTAAGTAGCATCTTTCCAGGCTGGTGGCCCGGCCCTCACCTGAGAACCCCCACCTACACCCTGGGGGACCCTCATGGTGTTTTGCCCACAGTCCGTCAGCACACAGTAGGGCTGCTGGTAGCAATGGGTCCGGTGGAGGAGGAGGAGGAGGAGAGGAGGAGGAGGAGGCTGCGGTGGTGGCTGGGACAGGTGGGCTGCATCCTGGTTGGACCCATGAGTAATTTCTCTTCCCTCCCAGGTGGCCAGAGGCGAGGCGGTGGCTTTCTCCTAGGAAGGGGGCAGATGCCTGGCCCAGGATGGAATCAAAGGTCTGAAAAGGATTTATTTTTTTCTGATTTTAATATTTGAACAATTTGTAAATATGTGAACCCTTCAGAATGGAACTAACTTGAGCCTTTGGTTCTACAGCCGAGGCTCGCTGCCCCCTGGAGGGCAGCGAGTCGGTGGGTTCCCGAGGCCAGGGTGCGGCACACCTGCCCAGAGCGGTGTGAGGACCTCCTGCGCTGACCTCCCAGCAGAACGAGTATGTATGCTTGTGACACTAACAGTCTTCCTGGGGAGGTAAGGGCCTTGAGGATTCTACAGTCTTAAAAACAATATAGTAAAAAATCCAGAACCATGCAATTCCTCTGCCTGTCATAGATAATCAAGGGAGGTGTTAAAAATCTCTCACTTTGATATGAAAAGGTGCTGACAACTGTGCTTGGGGCTTATGGGGCCTGCACAGGGTGAGAGAGGGCATGACCCCCTGGGAGGAGTGAGTGACCTTGAACCAGTGACTATAGGTCCCCCTCCTCCTGCTTCAAGTGTTGCCTTGCTGCCTTAAATGAAATAACAAGAAATGCTTGGCACGCAGTCGGTACTCAACACAGGAAAATGATTCTTACTTTGGTGGTTTATTCCCTGTCCCCTAACTGTCCCTTTCAAAGCCCTTCTCGTTTGTGTAGAAGCCAGGGGAACAAGGGGAACAGGACAGGGAGGGTCCGCCTCGGTCCCCAGGGCCTTCTCTTGCATCAACTAATAACTTGATTGACAGTACCTAGATTTCCGTAGGAGGAGTTGGCTGTCTTCACAGCAAAGTGCCCCGGTCTGCAGGTGGCCCAGGTAACTTTAATCTGGGTATGGCATTTTATTTTTATTTATTATAAATATATTTTGCATCTGAAAAACAATTTCAGACACTGGACGGGCCTCTCCCAGAAAAAAACAACGCTACGTAATAAGCAGCAGAGCCGGACAGAGGGGAGGAACATTCTAGAAGGTCCCCATCTGTATAGGAGGAGGGACTCTACCCGATGAACCCAGAAATTGCTATGTGCAGATGCAGGAGGGTTCAGACTCATTTGGGTTCAAAGCTGGCTTAGTGTTGTGTCCTTGGGGTCTCAGGGCCTCAGTCTGTGTCTTTATCTGTAGATGACAGTGGGCTCGTGGCGCATGCAGCCCCATGCTTGAGACAGCTGAGAAGGGGTGCCATGTCCTACGGCGGATGTGAAGCGGGCAGAGACCTGCAAGGTTGCCCCCATTCTCATGAAACTGAGCCGTTAGGAAATACCTGTGTCCTTCAGCCACGTCCCCTCTGGGTTAGAACGGGGAGAAAACATGGCAGCTGTGGGTTCTGCATGGGGACTGAGCTGTCGGGGGACCCAGCAAGGCCGGCTCTTTGCCAGCAAGCCACTCGGCTGTTGACGCTTGTGAGCTGCGTGGTTGCTGCTCCCCAGAGGCCCATGTCCCCTTCTCCCCGGCCGATCTCATGTCACATTCATGTTCCAGTTAGCTAATCCCGAGGACACGGGCCAGGGCATTAGCTTTCAGGGCCTCTTAAAAACGTACTCCCCGATGGGTGCATTGCAGACACCCGCTGGGCAGCTCCGGGGGGCCTGGGGGCCGGCGGGGGTGAAAGCACAGCCTGCGGCAGGGGCACACCTGCTGGCCTCCGGTCACTGACACGCCACTCAAAGGCCCCCGGCTCCAGCTTCAGAGCACAGGAAACTAAAAAAGGGATGATCTTCAGGATAAAATGAACCCCTGTGTCTGCAGAACTTGTTTTGGGGGATACATGACCACTTCTGCTCCATCAGCCAAAATGTCCTCCCTTTTGTATTTTAAAATAACCCACTCACAAAAATGTTGGTTATTTTAATTATGGGAGAAACGCATTGATAATTAATACACTCGTTACTGAAAATGAACGTTCCCGATAAAAGCAAAAGCCAGCTCCAAGCCCTCCCTCCACCCTAGCTCCCCCCACCCCCACCCATTCACTGCTGCTGTTAAAGGGTTTCAGGGTTATGGTTGCAGATATTTTTCTGTGCATTTGCATATGGATAGAAATTGAACTCTGAAGTGCATGATTTTCTTTATTTTTTTTGCATTAACTATATCATCCCGTACGTTTCCTTTCTGCGCAGCTCGTTTTTCTTCACCCAGGAATCTGCTTGGAGATGATAAAGATCGACGCCATTCCTTATAACAACACGGTGGCTCCCCAGAGCTGTGCACACCGGAGTTTATTTAACCGCCTCCCCGCTGCCACGAAAGCTCTCAGTCCTCACCCCGTGGGGACGGGGAGTGGAGGCAGGTGTGAGTAATTGCTAATGTCTGGATTTGGGGAGTGGGCTCCCAAGCGTTTATGGCATTATTACAGATGAATATATGAAGGCATACATTAGCATAAAACAGGGACATGCCCCGACCAGTGATGAGAAAGTGTTTATGAACAAAAGATCATGATGAATCCAGGCCTGCACAAAGCACCAGGGTCCATTAGGGGACAATGGGGCTGGCTCTTTCATGCCTTTTGAGAGCTGTTTAATATTCTGGGGTATGCACGCACCACGGCTGACCAGACTCTCCTCTCCTGTCGAAAAATCCCAGCCGTGTTTGCATTGGTGTGTGTGTGTGTGTGTGTGTGTGCATATATGTGTGTGTGCCTGTGTGTAGGTGTGCGCGCGCATGCACACGTGCACATGCACAATAGCTTTGGTCCAAGTCCCCGTCGTTGGGGTGGCCGACAGGTTCATGGGTGCTTGTTATATTAGATGAGAAGATAAACAAACATGAATACATAAAATGCAAGTGTTCCTGGCATAGATAAATGAGGGCAGATCACGAACCAAGGTTTTAATTAATGTGATTCCGCTCAACTGCAGCCTGCGCAGAAGCATCTCCGTGGGTCCCGTTTTGTGCTGTTTTGTTTTGTTGTGAATGACCCGGCAGGGAGCACTGCTGCGGCGAAATCTGTAAACACGGTTCCTTCCCCGCTAGTTCTCAGAGGTGGGATCGCTGGGCTAAACAGTTTGCAAAGTTTATTTTCACGGAGTGGTCTTTCTCAAATGCCATTTTGACCTTATCACTGTTTTTGCTTTAAATCCTCCATCTGACTTCCCGGAGCTTCTGGGACGTGGTCCAAGAGCCTGAGCCTGGCACGCACGACCCTTTAGGGTCTGGCTGGAAGCTCCCCAGCCTCGTGCCCTCTCTCTCTCGCCCGGTTGCCCCTGGGCTTGCTGCACCCCACAAACTACCTGCCCCTCTCTGTGCCTTTCTCCTCGGGCTTCAAGACCAAATGTATTCAAAAGTCCAGCAAAGCGTAGTCCCCAGAATTGTAATGCCTCATTGATGGGTCTTCCTAGTCCCAGACAGTGTTTTGCATTTTTCTAGGATTCAGGAAACTGGCTACATGTTAATCAGCCCCTCTCCTTTGTCCCTGGCCAGAGCCGCCAGGCCCTGCCTTGCCTGGATCTGACATCCCGTCACTGAAAACCGCCTCATATTGTTCCCGGCCGATGGGCAGTGTCGGAGGTCGGAGCTGTGTGCTCTGCGGCACGGTGAGTGCTCAGAATACCGTCGAACTGCACACACACGCCTGGGGGTGGCCCAGCTTGGCACCCCTCCTGCCCCACACTGCCCGGTCCTGCCTGGCACCCACAGGTGTGCAGTGCCCCAGAACCCGGGGTCCACAGCTCAAGCGTAGTAGCAGCTCATGTTGTGAGCGCTAGTGGCAGGTTTTCGAGGCATAATTACAGCCTGGAAATGGCTGATTACGTCTTCTGTGGCCTGCTCCTCCCCCGAGGGAAATGGGACTGGTCCCGGGACATGAGAAACATCCTAGCATGTGACAACAGGGCCACCAGCTGGGGTGTTGGTGGCAGCTCTGGGGAGAGGACACGGGTGAGAGGGGTGCTTGTACCTTAGTGACAGTGGAATGTTCTAGAAAGAACACAGGCTTTGGCGTGGAGGGCTAGGATGCCAAGTGCACATCACCCTTGGGGTAGAGGATTTACCCCGCCCTTGGGGGGAACAAAAGGCACCAGCATGATCAAGGTTTTGGTCCCTTTTGTTTCCCTGGGGTCGGGAGAGTAGAAAACATCCCTAGAAGCGGGCCATCTTGAACTCAAACCCAGCTACTGAACAGATGTAGAGCTGCATGTCTTTTTTAATCATTGAGATGTTCTGTGCCTCAGTTTCCTGATATTTAAAACATTAATCAAAATCTCCCACGGGCTCCAAGAGCAAACAACACCAATGATTGACCCGGCCCGATAGCCAGCATGCCATCCCCAGCAAAAATCAGCAGCCCTGTCCATCTACCCCCCCTCCTGAAATGCTGCACCCCCCTCCCGAGACGGGCAGCCCCTTTCAGAGCCCCTCAGAGGAGACAAACAGGCCCAGAGACAATGTGAGCGGGGAGGAGAGCCCACAGCCCCAGGGCAGACCCCCTACCCCCTACCCCCTACCCCGGGGAGACAGGCCTTTCCCCTGCACCCGGGGGCCAGGGAGGGGCTGCCCTGCTGGCTCTAACTGGGTTCTCTCCTGAAAAGTTTGGTGATAGTTCCTTTTATTTTTTTATAAATCTGTATAAAATGTCAGGCTGCTCTTCAGGCAGATTTTTCAGGCTCGTATTTTATAGACTTTGGCAGGGGCGGCTCGGAAGGAACAGTGGTTACAGTCTCCAGAGGTTCATAATTCCTGGAAGAACTTCTGGCTCAGCCTGCCTTCTCCTAAATTTCACAGAAAACGCTCCTGGGCCGGGCCCAGCCTGAAGGAGGTTTTTGTGCCTGGGCGCAGCCTGCCTTGGTGGGAGCATGACTTGTATGTTGCCTTTTTCACAGAAGTGAACTTCCTCGGCCATCGAGCACAAAGACTCCTCTCTCTGAATTTTGGGTTTGTTTACTCTAAGCGAGGCTCAGTCAGACATGTCCACCCCCCCCACCCCCCTCCACCGCCCCGCCTGTTTCTTTGCGGCAAATGCAGCTGCCCCTGTCTCTGCAGCCCCAGCCTCACGCCCTGGCTTCTGATGCGGTGGCGAGGGAGGGGGGCTCTGTGCCTGCAGTAGGGAGCTATTGTGACCTGGGCCTGGGACAGCCCCCTCCTCAGCTGGAGCCCCTCCCCAGCCAGCCTGCCCACCATAGGGTTGAGGGTTTTAGGACCCCAGGCCTCTGGCTGGTGAGGGACGTGGGTGGGTGACTTTGCACATCCGCACCAAGCATATTCTGAGCCCTTTTCTGAGCCACCGGCTCCCCCCACCAGAAACCTTCCTTTGCACGGTTTCTTCTGTGCGTGACTTCTTCCGAAGCGGCCATGAAATGCCGCAGAGGCTGCCACACACGTGTAAATACCACTTTGCCAAACATGTTCACAACACCAGTCACTTCATAGATTTAAACAACAGCAACGACGCAAAACAACCCAACGGGGCTCTGAGAGACAAATGGTCTCGCCAGCAGCACCTAGGCGGGTGGCCCGCGGTCTGTCTGTCTGTCTGCGGGGAGCCAGCCTGCGCTCTCCACCTGCAACACGATGCTGCCTCCCCACGGTGGGTCTGAGCAGCGGTTGGGACCCCGCGGCTGACAGACAGACAGTGCCCTGGCAGCCTGGGCTGTCAGGAGCGGGACAATTCAGGCGGCAGTGACAAGGGGCTCTCTGTCCCTGCGCCCCTGGTGCCTCCAACCTCCTCAAATCTTTCTACCCCTTGAGGTGCATCTGTGACCCCAAGGGTGCACTAGGGCAGCTTGGTCATTTCAGGGACAAGGAACCCAGGCAGCGCCCTTAGCCAGCCTGTTTTACACCCCCGCCCCCCCCCCACGCTGAGTGCTTGCAGTAGGAACAAAGACAAGAAAACTCCTTTAGAAACTGCAGAACAGAGCCTCGTCTAGCGGGGGTCCCCTGATAAAGGCCCCATCCACCCGGAGTTCCTGGGAACAGAGTCCCCATGAATGGGCATGGAGAGCCAGCCCCAGACGGCAGAGTTGGCCTCATTCATCAACATGCAGGCTCCTCGGCCCCAGCCCCGGATGAGGGGCTTTCAGGAGTCCCCAGAGCATCCAAGTCACGGTCCAGCAGCGGCCGAATTGGTGGCTGCGGCCCAGCCTTTAGGAAAGGGCCCTGCTTTTCCCATGACCGGCCAGCCCCTCAACTCAGCAGATCCCCCCTCTTCCTACTCGCCCTCTGGAAGGCTGCCCCCCACCCTCTACACCCGCCTGTTGCCCCTGAGAGGACTCAGGCCAGCCTTTGTGAGCCTGGGAGCCAGGGTGGGCACTGGGCCTCTCCAGGTGGCCCGGCCCTTGAGATGGGGAATTGGCTGCAGAACAGCCCCTCACCACCCCCCACTGGCCCCGAGCACTCACCCCCTTTCTCTGCTCCTCTCCCTCACTGCCTCATTGTGACAGAAGCGCTCCACCAGCCAGCGGTGCCTTTGCCATGCAGCTCAGGGCAAGGTACGGGGGACAGTGTGCATCCTTGCTCTGACCCCAGCCTGCCTCCTCTGCAGCCAGCCCCTCTCGCTCGCTCGGGACTTAGCTCTGTAGGAGCTGCTCTAAGGCCTAGACGTGCGGGCTGCCAGCCCGGGCAGGGAGCCGCGCTGCAGCCTTCCGGCCAAGTACCGGCCTGCCTCTCTCTGCTCGATGCCTCCAGTAACAGGGAGCTCCCTCTCTCCCGGAGCAGCCCGCTCAGGGCTCGCACACGGCGCGGCTTTGCCGAGCCCTCCCCTGCTTTCTGCATCTGCCTCCGTGGCTCGCGCAGCCCCCCTCACCCCCTCTGCCCTCCGCTCTCTGCAGGCAGCCAGCTCCCTCTGGGTCCGCTCCTTCCCGTGCGGTGGAGCAAGCCCCCCATCAAGGGTCAGCTCTGGGGTCCCCGTCCTGGTCCCAATGACAGCCGTCTACACCTGTCCCGCCTGTCCCCGCGCCTCTGCCCCTGCAGTTTGGGAGCCGGGACCGGGCCCTTTGCCCTGCTGTTCTGCAGGGAGCCCAGGGGAGGGCGCGGGTCTCCCCTCCCGTGTCCAGCTGCGCTGGATCTCCCCGTTGAGCGGCTTCAGAGCCCTCTCAGCTTTTTATGGCCCCTTTGCTAGTTGCCAAGGAGAAAGCTCTCTATGCAAACCCTGTCTTTTCCGCAAGAGCCGCCAGGCAGGCGGCCCTGGTCCGCCCGCCGCCGCAGCCTCAGCACAGCGAGCGTGGCGGGACCCGCAGGCAGCTGCTGCGGGGCTGGGGGCCTCCCGCCAGATTCAGGCAGACTGGGCTTGACTCCCAATCCCCATCTGTGACCACAGCAATTCCCTTTGCCGTTTTGAGCCTCCATTTTTCCTCTGAAAAGGATATGAGAGGGGCTCCCACTGGCTTGAAGTGAGACTAAAGGAGATAAGAGTAGCCTAGCTCACATCAGAAACTTCATGACGGCCAGTGCAGTAGACACGGGGACCCAGGGAGGGAGGCACACATGGAAGGAGCGTCACCAGAGAGAAACCGGTCTGGCCTTCTCCAGACTTGCACCACATGCAGAGGGGACCCTCTCCATGGCAGAGGGACCCCTCTGCCGGCTTAACCGCGCACACCAAGCCAGTTAGACGCAGCTAGAGGAGGCCCTAGGCCTCTGAGCTCACAGTAGATGCAGTATATGGTAAAAATGACATGTAAGCCCACATCTGTATTGAATAAAGCAAGAATTTGCATTGTATGTGCAGCCTGAGGGGCTCGGGGGGCTGAGGCATAAGACACATCTTCCCTTGCGGCTTCCTGGCTTCCTAGAAGGGCCAGGGTAGCCGGGGTGTCTGAGGAAGAGAAGCCTGACTGTCCAGGCATCCACAGACTGTGGGAACCAGTCCCCCATCCATGCCCTTTCCCCCCAAGCCGCCGTAGTGCACCTACCTTCCCGGGCCCAGACCCGAGTAGGACAGACTGGGAAGCTGGACACGGAGCTGGATGCTGGTTGCTTCCTGTCCTCGAAGCTCAGTCTGGTGGGGAAAGAGAACAGGGAGTGAGTCACTGTAAATCAAGTGATCAAGGGGATGATGGCAGTTGAGATTTATGGAGCCCGATGTAGGGGCCAAGCTCTGAGCTGGGCTGTCTTTGCAGGACTCTCCCCGGCAGAAACTCTGAGCACCGGCCTCAGAATCCCCATTAGATTGATGAGGAAACCGAGGCAGGGAAAAGCGAAGTCCCCTACTCACCGTCTCTCAGCTGGTGTGAGGCCAAGCCAGGATAGAACCCTAGACTGTCCGAGGCTCCCACCACACCCTGCAGCTGAACAGCTCAGCGAGGCTGTGCTGAGTGCTGGGGGGACGTGGGTGGGCAGGGATGGATTGATTAGTTATAAGCACCTCCCAGCGGTGCTTGAGATCCCCAGCTCCTCTGTGGCCCAATCCGTTTGAAGGGCAGATTCAAAATTAGGTGGTAGCACCTATGGGCAGAGGCTTATAAGGATGGCGTTATTACCCTGACGTGGGGGGGAGGGCCCTCCCTCCCACCTCCAAGCAGATTGCAGATGGAGATGGGGAGGGCTGGGCCTTGTTTGTGTGGACAGTGAGTGAGGACAGAGCTGCTTCCTGGGGAGGGCTGGCTTTGGAGGGGATGAGGGCTGGATGGCTGACGCAGGCAGTCGCTCACCACAGGAAAGTGCCCCCCACTAGACCCACTCCTGGGGGGAGGTCCCCCAGCCCCTTCTCTGACGCAGACAGCCACTCTGAGCCTCTGAACCTCAGTTTCCCTACCTGTGCAAGAGAGATGGA